GTTATGTATGGGTATTGGATAGGTCAATGGACCATATTGTAACCTTGTACTCCTGCTTTCTTCTACACTATAACTTGTATGGAACCTTGGAAGTTTAACCACGTTTTAAATGTTGTGATATAAAATGAACTAAGATGTTGAATGTACTATCTTTTCTAGTTTAAATAAAGGTAAGCATGGCTTCCTTATTCCTATCGAGTTGGGTAGATAGCGGTTGATAAGGCTTGCTCAGTTGGGTTCACTCGATTGAGCGCCGGTTGCTCCTCCCGAAGTTGGGGCATGACATCAGCAGATAGAGATTTCGGAGTGGAAATGTGAGAGGATCACCATGGAATTCGTAGTTGGACTTCACGTTCTTTGAGTAAGTTTGATGCTATTTGGATGATTGTGGATCGGCTGACCAAGTTCGCATACTTCATTCCTGTGTGTATCACTTATTCTTCAGAGCGGTTGGCTGAGATTTATATCCGGGAGATTGTTCGTCTGCATGGTATTCTAGTTTTTATCATTTCAGATAGAGGTACTCAGTTTTTATCACGGTTCTTGAGGGCCGTACAGCATGAGTTGGGTAATCGGGTGGAGTTGAGGACAGCATTTCACCCCAGACAGACAGACAGTCCGAGCGCATTATTCAGATTCTTGAGGATATGCTCCATGCGTGTGTGATGGAGTTTGGAGGTTCTTGGGATCAGTTCTTGCCACTGGCGGAGTTTGCCTACAACAACAGTTATCAGTCTAGCATTCAGATGGCACTATATGAGGCTCTGTATGGTAGGCGGTGTAGATCCCCGGTGGGTTGGTTTGAGCCCGGCGAGGCTAGATTATTGGTCACCGACTTGGTTCAGGACGCCTTGGAGAAGGTTGTGAGCACGTGATTTTTGCCCGACCAAAAATACTCCTACAAAGTCACAAAATCGATTTTTCTAATTTATTTTAATTTTTATGGAATTTTTAGGAATATCTGTTAAATTGTTTGCATTTAGTTGTATTTTAATATTTTAAAATCATGAAAAATACCCTAAAAATGTTCAAATTTCATGCATTGCATTTTTAGGATGATATTTGCATTTTTAGGTTTAAGTTGTTAATTAATTACATTAATAGATAAAAATCAAAAATATTGGCCATTTTTTACATTTTTAGCTTTTAGTCTCAAATTAATAATTTCCTTGCATTAGCTTTAAGTTAATTATTTATGTTTAGGTTAAAAAATATAATTTTACAAATTAGATTTTAGTCTAGGATTTTTAATTAAATTTAGTAGGTTAAAAATCAAGAAAAGATAAAAATAAATAAAAAAGAGAAAGCTTTGTTAAATCCCGAAATTGGGCCAAGACCAAAATCTCACAGCCCAATTTTTTCCCATTGATCTTCTATGATCGCACGGCCCGAAATTGACCCTCATCTCCCATATAAGTGTCTAACCCCACCCCCAAACCCTAGAGACCCCCTCCCCCACTTTTCTTCGTCTCATTCACTATAACCTAAAACCATAGCCGCCCTAATTCTCCATCCCCTCCCACCAACCGCCGCCCACCGGAAATTGCCTCACGGTGGCGGCGATGCTCCAAACTCTCCCAAATTAACCCCATGCAATCCTCATTCCCTCCTCTTTCTAAATCCATCAATAGTTCTCCCAAAAGCCCTACCTATTTTCTTCAAATCCGGATCTAAAAAACTGAAAACCCTAAATTTCCCCCTTCTCTAGTTGTTGTCACTCCCTAGCCGCTCGTTTTGACCTAGAACCTACATCAATGGATTGTTCTTGACAAGAACAATCACTTGACGTTGGTTTTTGTTCATTCCAAATTCGCGAGGAATCTGCTTTCAATCTGTCTTTCTCTTTTGGGGTATTCACTTGTCCTTCTTGTCTTGCTTTGTTGCTTTAATTGTTCTAAGGAAAGTTAAAGAAAAAGAGAAGAAAAACAGTTGTTATTTTAATTAAGATTTTATGTTTAATTACTGTTTCACTTAGTTTTTTTTTAATTATTGTTCTGTTTAATACCGTTTAATTTCCTGCTTTTGTTAATGAACAAGTTAGCTTATAGTTAATTAGTATTAATTAGTTCAATCATGTTCTAAACTTTCAGCATTCATAATTTTACAGTTGTTTGTCATTCAATATTTGGTTTGTATGAGTTTGGGCTTCTGTGTGTCGCTGGTTTGGACAGTAGAAGGCCAATTTGTTTGAACCTAAACCTTTGGTCAGTTGGCCCAATAATTGGTATTGTTGGAAAGTAAATACAAGGGTATTGGGGGGTTAAATTGGGGCTTTTGACTTGAAGAACATTTTCTGTTATGACAAAAGAAGAGTCTAGAAGATAAGGTAAGGTTTTATTCAAATAAAATAAAAACATCTCAGCTGTTTTTGGGGTCTAGAGGGGTAAAACAAAAGCTTGAAGGGTAAAATTGAATGAAAAAACCAGATATATGGTTGCCCTAGAATACTCATATAAAGGGCTCATTTCACTCACTTTGAGAGCAGAGAAAAACATAGAAAAAAGAAGAAAAAGACTGCATACATAGAAATAGAAGTTTTCATAAAAAACAAAGAAAATGGTTGGATTTCAGTTCTGATATCGAATTTTTCACTTCATTTCTTTCTGGATTTCTGGATTTGTCATTTGTTGTGTAGCTGGGATATTGAAGCTGTTTTCCTGGTATTTCTACCGTTTAGACTTGTTGAATCTCTCCATTTTTGGCCTTTTTAGCCTTTATTTGGCAAAATCCAGTTTTTGTTTACAAATCTAGGTGCACCTCTCACTCTTGTACTTCTATTTTCAATTTGAGATGAAATGTTTGGTTGTTCTTTGTTTGTCTGTTGAGGTGGTGTAAATTATTGCTTATCTTGTCTTGAATCTTGAATTAATGTGAGCTTAATATGTTTAAGGATGGAAACTTGCTTTTAGATTTGCCTTTGAAAAAGCAACTACAGGTAACTCTATGGCCATAACATTAATTGATTTCCCACATTAATTTAGACTTCAACATGTGTATCCTTCTAACAAATACTCGTTGCTTATATTTGAACATTATAAAAAATCTAAATCTGTTTCATAGCTTCTTGATAAGTTGAGGTTCAGTGGATCATTTGCAGGTCAGTACTTGTGGATCTAGCCACTCGTTGGTTCGATTTGCAGTTCAAGGCATGAGCAAAGTTACACCTCTATCACATTTTCGTGGTTTGGGTCTGTTATACTTTAAATATTATCTAGGATTTGATCATGTGAAGCTTGGGCATTCTATAATGAAGGATGGGCGTGTGATTTTGAGCCTATAGTTGTGTATTTTATAAATGGCAGTATATGTGTTTAGATGTCCATTCAAAAAACTTATTTGTACAGTTATTCACCTATTGTATTAAAGTTATTGTACTATTTAGTCTTGTCTTCTACTAATAATTTAGATGTTGTAACAGCCAAGGCAAAAAAATTAGGAGTTAGAAGCATTAGTCAAGTCTGCTTGATTGCTCTTTCTAATATAAAGTGTGTGTTTGTGTTAAATAGCATAGGTGTTAGTGTCCTGACTTGATGCCATTTTGATATTTCTGTAAAAATCAATTATGCTCCCTCGGGAATTGGATCAGAGGGTTTCGTTTGAAGCCTTGCATTTTTGGGGTTAGTGTATGCTACTAGTTTGAAGTAGTGAAAAACAAAAGGCATTTTTTTAACTTGAAAGGGCAGATCTTGAGTGGTTTCATGGATTCGTAAAGTAAGCCTTGTATGACGTTTAGCCCAACAACATACGGAGTTAATTGACTTTCATATCTCATGGTTTCGCAATAATCTTAGATTAATTTTAGGAAAATCATGAACATCGTAGTTTGTTTTAGATGCGATTTAATCTATCATCGTGGTTGTCTCCATGTTCGCGTGACATAATTACGATCCTAAAAACAAAATTGGAGTATGCGTTCGCGCAACTTCGACCGAAATTTCTTAATATTAATAAAGTGTTATTAATTATGGACACGTACGCGTGATATGATTCTTGACGCGCTAAACAGATGAGTACACGTGACTCGTTTTTTAAAGATAACTCCATAATTAAGAATAATTAAGCAAATAAAAGCGGTTAAGGAAGTAGATGCATGTAGGTATAAAAAATGAGTAATTAGACATTTTATTAAGCCAGGTATATGATTAAAGTGACCGTGCTAAAACCACGGAATCCGGGAATGACTAACACCTTCTCCCGAGTTAACAGAATTCCTTACCCGGATTTTTGTGTTTCGCTGACTGTAAAACAGAGTCAAACTTCCTCGATTCGGGATTTTAAACCGGTGACTTGGGACACCATAAATTATCCCAAGTGGAAACTCTAAATTTGAATAAATAATCTCGTTTCGATTACGTCACTTTAATTGAAAAACTCTCTTATATCCCTTCGGGTAAAAAGGAGGTGTGACAAATGTTAAGGGGATTTAGGATAGACTCCGCATAGCCTAGTCCAGACAGAAGGGTTATGCGAACCGGAAGGTTCGTGATGTTTTCTATATGGTTGGAGAGTGGGTCATGCTTCGAGTTTTGCCTATGAAGGACGTGATGAGATTTGGGAAGAAGGGCAAATTGAGCCCAAGGTTTATTGGTCCCTTTGAGGTGTTGCGACGTGTTGAGGAGATTGCTTATGAGCTTGCCTTACCTCCCAGCTTGGTAGGATTTCATCCGGTATTTCATGTTTTGATGCTCCAGAGGTATCACGGTGATCTGTCGCACGTGTTGGATTTTAGTTCAATCCAGCTGGACAAGGATCTATCTTATGTTGAGGAGCTAGTGGCTATATTGGACAGGCAGGTTCGAAAGCTGAGGTCAAAGAGTATTGCATTAGTAAAGGTTCAGTGGCGGGGTCAGCCGACCGATGAGGTGACTTGGGACACCGAGTAGGATATGCGCAGCTGTTACCCTCACTACCAGAAAATCTTCCTATGACAACGGGTCTATGATCGTTGCTGTAGGCAGCAAAATCGTTGCAATAGACATACTGCAACGGTTAATGGTCCGTCCCATCAGGTCGCATGCCAATAGATCTACAACAACGGTTTTTGCAACAGTTAAAGAACCGTACCAATAGAACTATCTATTGTAACGGTTCAGAACTGTTCCCCTAGCCACCTCTATCGCAATGGTCATTGTACCAAATGGAACGGTTCAAACGCGTTACAAAATCATCTTCTGTAACGGTATTTGAGGATATTGCAACGCTTTTTTATTCTATAGCAACGATTATTAGAGGTTATTGCAACGATTAAGGGGATCTATTGCAACGATTATTAGAGGCTATTGCAACAATTCACAAAAGCTATTGCAACGGTTATTATAACCTATTGCGACGGTTTTCCTAGTTGCTGCAGCGGCTTGGTGGTCTATTACAATAATTAGTTACCTATATAATAAAACATAATACACTGTAATCTGTATAAATCATGAAAGAGACTATTGAACTACAAAATCATTCAATTTATCCAACTAATATTATCCATACATAAAGCAAAGTATACAGTAATGTTTGACAAATTCAAAAGTAAGCATACATAATTTGTACAAACTCCTAAAAGAAAAGGTTCCTAGAACATCTAAAGTCCTTGCATCAATCAATCAATACTGTTAAGTGAGGTCTCCACTGCTTTTGTTTACCTCCTGTTCATTAATTTTACCTACAAAACCATCAAAAACCCAAACTATATCAGATTTGGTTATATAGCAACTAATTATAAAAGACTCACATGGAAAGGAATGCAATATAAACAAGCTTAATCTAGAATTTGATTTGATCAATCTAACAATCTAGTATAAAGCCAGAAGATAGGGATATAGCTAGGGACTACTATACAATAATCCAAATAAGTTTGATTTAAGTAGTATAAGTTGCTTGTGACACTAGTTACTATGGAGGAAAAGTATCATAAGAAAAAGTCTGTCACTTCATCATTTAGAAACACCAGTCATAAATAACACCAACTTCATAAGGCAACAACTTCATATTTTACTCCGATCAAACACACAAAGCACCAACAGGCATTAAGGCAGCTTTCAACTAACATGCACAAGCGAACATTACTTAAAAAGCATATTCAACAACTTCAAGTAATACAAATAGAAACTACTGAATGTAGAAAGACGAAATTAACTGCCCACGCCTTCCAATTATTTCATCAAGCACACAATATTTTTCTACTTTCAAGACCCAACAGTTTAAAGCTAACTCAAATGTTTAATTCAAATTGCTTATTCATTTGAGACCAAATATCTCCGGTTCATTGTCAAATAAATAAAACTTCATAGTAATTAGTAGATTGACTCAGAAATCTATATCTATATTATTATAAAAGCATGAATAAAATGTTGAATTACAAAAATAACCTTTTATTATTAAACATAATAACTCACAACAAAAGGACATAATCGAAATTCTAAACATTAACCTTAATCCTATTGGTTTTAGAACATAATACTACGTTAGGAATCCTACATGAGAGCTTCCACGTGGGCAAATTATTGCGATTGTTAAGTTACTCAAGTTGCCTTTAAAAAAAAAGTTACTCAAGCTTCGAACATTAGAAAAGTGAGAATTGATCTCAACTGACATGATGGTAATGGCAGTTATTGTTCTTTTGCTGAACTCTAATGCGGCAAGCACTAGCCAATCAATTCATTAGACAAAATAGTATCCAATGGATTAAATCCAACACCTTCACGAATTCTATTAATATAATTATTTTCGGGCATAGATATTAGTCTTGTAATCCTATTACTTTTAGGATATACTTCTGTAAAAAAAGTTATTACAAATTTAATTGGAAAACATATTATATTGTCCAAATCCATTTAGAAACAGAAGAGTCTATATCTATCTATATCTATATTTATCCTATATTATTATAAAAACACGAATAATTTATGCTAAATGTTATGTGACAAAAATATCCTTAATATCCCTCAATATCCCTTAACATTTAAAGGTATATTTCGTTAATTAGAGTCCAAATAGAATTAACATATGTTGGTCGGCATTTGCTTCCACCATCTTACCTGGTATAATAATTACTGTAGGAAACAAAAATTGAATTTCATTATAACTAAAATCATGATAATTAATAGTCTTACTCAATACTCCTTATTATAGTCATCTTATCTTTATTAAGGTTTAATTTTTTTAAAGGTTTAATTTGTGGTATGTGAACAATTGCAAAACATAGAGGCTAAGTTGAATTCAAGGAAATTTGAACTAAGCCAAAAAAGAGAGAATTTTTAGTTATAACTATGCTTTGTTCATCGTAAGATAATAATTATATAGGTGAAGTAATTGGAGTACACGCTCCTTTTTTAAAAATCAAACGCCACCTACTGGTGGAGCTAACTGGGCATATATTTTAAGAAAGTTAAAATTATAGATATTTTTGTATTATAAATCATCTCATTAAGAGTAAAATAATAAGTTTATAATTAAATATTTTTAAATATAAAATATGTCGTTCCTTTTTTTTTGTAACGAACTAAAAAATGTGCAATATAAAACGGATCAGAGCAAGTATATTATTCTAAAAATATGAATGTGAAAAAGACATTTAGATACAATTCAATTTTCATATTTACGTACTCAATATTACATACTCAAAATCTAGAAATAAGAACACTCTAACACAAGTATCCAAATTAAAATATTTACAATATTTAACTCGAAATATAAGTGCTTATTGACTTAAATAAATAGTTAGGGCTACACGTGCGAGGCACGTGAAATAGAGACTAGTTATTATAAAGGCATGAATAAAATGTTGGATTACAAAAATAACCTTTTAATATTAAGCATATTAACTCACAGTAAAAGGACATAATCTAAATTCTAGATATTAAACTTGCAATCCTATTAGTTTTAGGACATAATACTAAACGTTAGGAATCCTACACGATTACCTTTAAGAATCCTATTAGTATAATTATTTTCGGGCATTAGATATATAATACTACATGTTAGAATGTAAACATAATACCTTATGGAACATGTTAGATTTTCTATTAGTTCACAAAAGGAGACAAAAATATTTTATGTTAGTATTTATAATCACAATAATTATGAAATATATAGACTATTTCGGTAAACAGAAGAAAATTAGAGTTCTAAATAGATTCTACCTTTGTATTTTGGTTTCAAAATAAAGAGCGGCTACATGTTATTATTTGTTTTGGAGTTGGTTGCATTAAACATTGTTACAACCCCAATTAAATTGTCTACGTATTTTTTGACACTAATTACAACCTTTTGCATTAGTTTCATTTGTTTCTTCAGTTAACTGAATTTCTTAAAGCAAAAGTTTTGATTAATCTACAATCTAAAAACTCTCTGAATAGAGTGATGGCGAGATAATGTGAATAGTTTTGACCTAAAATATTATTTTCGAGTATGTTTGTAATCCATACATATATGGTAAGGTAATTGTTGTTAAAAGTCCTAAAAAAGGTTCCATAATCGAAGCTATATGTTCATATATACCGGAAGAATTCATGAAGAGGTGCAAATCGATAGAGTATGGAAGTAGTTATATAAAAGTGAGGTATATCATATATGGATGCTGTATATTGAAGTGAGAGCACATATTACTTAATTGTATTAAATAATAAATATATGTATAAATCACATAATTCTTGTATTCATTTGTTAGATACGAAATATCGAGTTCTAATAAATCTTTAAAAAAATATTCTAACGTTAAAAGTTTGCAAGTCGTATTAGCTCGATATCTTTCCAACAAAAAGTTTCTTTAGATGTTAGGATATTATTCGGAAGGATTCTCTTGTATATTAAATAATATTATACAAAAAAAATATTTCAGGAGATAGCTAGGAGATGATACCTCGAAAATCATAGCTTTCTTTAGTCGAAAGATTTGGAAAGGCATAATCCTGAAATTCATTAAATTTTGGACTCTTTAAAAAAATTAAATGATTCTTTCAAACAAGTAATTCATATCGGATAAAAATAGTGATTCACAATTTAATTTGTTGAAACTTCGACTATAAATCAAGCTCAAAGGTGTACTGATTACTATCTCATATACTAATATTAGGACTTTAAAACAAAATTAGTAACTTACTTTACTTATACAAGAATTTCTTATGGGATCAATAATGAAGTTTTGAAATTTTAAAAGCAAATCACTAAATCAATGTTTAAACTAAAAACTTAAAACACAAATTATCAACACTCAAATAGTTTTAACAATAATCAATCACTAACTTTTGAAAAAAACTATGATGTTCTAGGTGTGTTTTTGGTGAAGAAAAACAATTGCGTCACATATAACTCAAGAAGACTATTTTCGCAATAAAGTAAACGAATGGATAATATCTAAAGGCTAATCCCTTAAGGGAACAATCGATGCCATAAAACCATCGAATTCACAAGAGTCCTATTTTATGATATTTATGCTACGGCGAGCTGTTTGGACGAACTCATCAAAGTCATTAGGTGCAAGAATCAACAAAAGCAAATTGCTATATGGATCTGTAAGTTACTATCAATTCTATATGCTTTCCTCTTTATTTTAGATTGTTGTTAGAGATTTTTGGATTTCATGAAAGCCAAATCTACAGGACATATATGTTTTTAATAAGATTTTACTCTCTCTTTTTTTTTTTTTTTTAAAAAAAAATGTTCTTCTCAGTCTATAATTCGCAACTATATAATTGGTGATGCATAATATGGAAGATTATTTGTAATAAGGTTTGAAGTAAGTGTAAATTAAAAAGTGCTAGGTCATTCAAATTTCATAAACTAATTAATTAACTCACGGAGTTTAGCATTAGGGGGCTACTTTGTAACTACTATGTTATCTCAAAATCGAAGTGAGATTAGTTTGTAAAATAAGTCCATACATGAAGGATGAACAATGTAAGAGTTACCATCCTCCAGTATGTAGTAACAAATCAATGTAACGAAATGATGGACACTATTTATAGGAGAAGAAATGATAGGAAAATTACAATTTTCCTTAGCATGATAATGAATAACCAAATGAGTTAGAGCCATATAATCTTTCTTTACTAACTAGATATAATTGCAACTTTAATGTAGAAACTTGCTCCGGGAGTATACATATAGTAAAGTATCTATTCAATTTATACAAAGGTCATGATAGTTGTATTCTTTATATCATGTTAGATGAGGAAAAAGTCAGTTTAAATAATCGTACAAAGATAGTATGCAAAGATTTTAACAACATATGTGCATATTGAACCAATATGGCTCCAAACATGTGATTCCAAGAATTCAACTTTCTCCTCTACAAAGTGGATATCCTTTTATATTTATTTAAAAATAAGTATATTTATTTTTTCAACAACAAATGCTCATACGATTCTCAATGTTGTACTATAATTACGGCAACATGTTTTCTATCCGGATTACTTTATGTTGCATTTTCAAGAGGTATATCAATATTGAGAATAGAGTATTAAACATGACACAGTAACTACAACAACATAAGCATCTAACTAACTTAATTAATTTGATTATTTTTGCAAGTTCAAACATTATTTAATCATTTCAAATATAGGTATTACGTTGACTAAAGATATACGTGCAACACACGTACATAGAAACTAGTTATATATAAAAATGATCATCATATATTTTCTCTGGGCTGGGCAGCCGAATGCAACATTCAAAAGATAACAACATGAAAGAATTCAACACACTTTCATACAAACAGGTGCATATACACAAGAGAGAAGAATAGAGGGACTTAAGTCCATAAGTAAGACTACTGAGAAAGAACCACCATGGCAAAACCAACCTTTCAATTGCCAAAAGTTGAAATTCAGAAAGTTTGAAAACAAGGTGAATCCTAAAAATTAATCTAACTTTTAAAAATTTCAATATCTACATATCAGATAAGTGACAAGAAAAGTTGCAGTGTAACTTTTATATTCACTTCTTGCATAAATGAAGCATACATGTTTGGATCAAGAAGACTAGATTGAGCATCTCATATATACAAACTGCAAAGCTACTACTTGGTTACAACACCAGGTATGCACACTTGTTTTTTTCCTCTTGAACACAATGTCACTTCATTTCTTTAGTTAAAAAAACGTAAATATCTAGTAGAGTTAAGATCCTTACACAAATCCTACTCCTTAGGGCAGATGACTAACCAAAAAGAATAAAAAGTTGGAAATAACTCTTGCAGACTATACAATATCCAGTTAAAGAAACCCAAAAGTTCAATGTTTACACATAGTTTTTCTATTTTTAGATTTTCTTAATACATCATATCTTAAACTGCTCATCACCATCTCTCTTCGGTCATAACTTAATAAGCAATAACCTAGTGTTATTTCAGAAAATACAATAATCAACTAAGGTAAAGAATGTGAAAGAACTTTAATAAAACAACAAAAAATCTAGGTAGTGAAATTAAAAACTTCAGGGCATAAAAAATTGACTAAGAAAAAGGGATCTTGTGTAGTCAGGTTGTACTCATTTTTTTCTACAAAACAAACATTTGAATAAACAAATCAGAACCACTTAAATTGCTAAACAAGCCATGTTTTACCAATACGACACTCTAAGTCTGCTATGATATTAAGATAAATTTTTCTCTGGTATGACTTTAAAATTAATAACTAGTTTTGGTCATGAGTCACTCTATCCCCCCATTCTTAGACTATAGTCCACAACACCAGATACATATATGTCATTTTGTATAGAATACAACAATCAAACCTGAAAAGATTACTAAATAACTCACTAAAATATTATTCCACATTAGACTCCATATGATTGGTATGCCAAATCACTTAACCAGATTAGAATGCAGCAATTCATTTAGTGAAGTTACAAATCATGACTATTGAGTGAATATGGCAGCATAAAATAAGGGTAAGAACCGAAAACACTCTTCAATCAAAGGAACTCTGCGCAAAAGCAATTTTTATGAGCTTAACAAAAATCCATGGGTTACAGGAAAGGATTCTATGACATGTCAAAACCATTATCTCCATGTGTTGGTTCGAAAAGCAACTTAAATGCCTTCAAGAAACTGAGATAACTTTTCACTCACCTGTTTTTTAGTCTGCGGTGAGTGTAGTACCATGTAAAGAATGTACCAGATTTTTCTTTTAGATAAGTGAAAATTTGGACTAATTAACAAAATGAAAGTGCAGTAGTATAAAAGTGAAAAGGAGGAAAATATAGCAACTTGTTCACATCATAATAACACCACAATGAATAATCCTCACCAAAGAACCGAATTTGTATGTAGTTAAGATGTCAAAGCCATATGGATCACAATCTACCAGGCAATACACAGGCAAATGCAGCTTGTCAACGAGGAGACGCAGAAACCTACCACAGGCAAGCGACATGAGAAGGCAGAAATATGGTTAATTGAAGTAGGATAACAACTGCAACAAGTCTGACAAAGTGAGCAACGTGGGTCTAACCTCCTTGTAGGAACATCAGGATAACCCCTTCCCTGGTTAAAAAAAGAGATTATGGATCCAAATATGCGTGGAAATTCACAAAACAAAAGACGCATATTGTTATCACAATGCAATGGTTCCTCTTGCCAAACTGATCATTTGCAAGTTGCTGGAACACTGCATGATGAACAACAAATAGTTGCCTCATTTATGAGCTAGGAATACCTTTCATGACTTTGTTATATCCTTGACCCGCTTATGAAAAGTTATACCTGATTCCTTTTCCACAACTAAAACGTATTGAGCAACACTAATAATATCTTGTTCAAGCATTAAGGGAGTAACAATCCACAACCATAGTCTGAGTAAGCAATCCACAAAGTAAAATAACAGGAGATACTCAATAACAAACATCCATTCAACTATACATTTACCTATAACTGGATGCGCATGTATGGAGTCCACAAACTCGTAGATCATATTTAACCATGTTGCATTCATAATTCAAACACTTATACTTGTAAGGATACCATCAACCTCTTCCACATGGACTGGAATCGGGTATGCCTGCAGGAAGCATCATAATTAGATTGTTACATAAACTACAGAAACCCATCTTAACTTCTAATTATCATTCTTACAGTGTTAGGATTGCAAACGTGATATGTCGAGTATGAAAAAAGACCATTGCATATAATGAACCCCAGCTGTACGTGTCTGGAATCATGCTGCTTCATAGCAAGATTAACTGTATAGAGGTACGCATCCGTTTCCGACAGATACCTGCAGAAGGCAAGGATCAAAAGAGTATATGGTCGAGTTTCGTACACAAATTAGCGATACAAGGAGAAAAAGACTAATCATTTGAATATTGGGTTTACCCTAGTCAAGCTATATCCATCATTCTCTGAAGTCAATATTCGAGCTCTACACAACAAACAGTAGCCACATCCTTCTAATCAACTACATTATTGAACCCCTCCACCAGTCCCCATGTTATGGAGAGGGCAGGGTCATGTGATAGAAAAATCAAATAAAATTTTCCTCCCAAAGAAAGAAATGTTATATGCTTATCGCTGAGGTACTTGAGGATCTACCGTTTCGCATGTTAGAAGTTTCTAAAAAGTAAATCAGAACGACCATTTCCACTATTAATCAAAATTCTGAACCCTCATTGAATCCTCCACAGTGAAAAATGAGCATATAAATAAAAACAAACAGAAGTGACAGTGAACACACCCTATGGATAGTTTCCCAACTTAAAACAGTGGACGTCCTAAAAACCTATATATACTATATGTCTACATAAGTATATATATGTGGATATATATTGATATTGAGTCTGTTTTGATACAGAAAGAAAAGTAAATCGGTATACCACATTAAGGTTATGCCGACTGCACTGCAAGAGGATGCAAATGTCATTAATTGCCCGATCGACAACAGATGGTTCTGCATTATAGAGTGCAAAAGAGAATGATGAGCATATAAGGATGCCTTTTGACTATATATAGTTTGAACTTGAGATCTAAACCATGGCACGTTAGCAACTGAGAAAGCAGAACTACCATAGTACATAAGAGCACTTGCCTTGGAAGAAAAACTTTGTAACCAATCACAAGAATATTTCAAAATAAATTCTACAAATAAATAATGTCTCACCATTGTCTGTGAAATTAATTGGCAGTAACTACACTTGAACACCAAGAACCAGTCCAGATTTGTCTTTTGAAAACATCAGTCACTGAGCAGTCAATCCAGATTACCTTTAAAAACAGCAGGATGCATGTAATATATGTCTCTCTTTGATCCATGCCTGCTTTCTTGCAGAAGTTGCTGAATTATCAGAAGGACTCTCAACAAGACATCTGCAATGAGAACCATATAGAGATAAGTAACCCAGCTAAGTTCCAGGATGTTACGGAAATTGGAGAGTAATAAGGCCTTCAAGTTTGTTCGACCAAACAGAAGAGAAAATTGAGCAAGAAACCTCAGACTACCTCCCATTGCACATCCTATTAACATCAAGGAAGGGACAGGCCATAAATGGAAGTTTGGAAAGAAGTCAACAAAAGGAGGAAACAGCTCCCCAAAAAAAGGCTGGAGTCGGCTATATGAATCTATAATCATTCCACTCTATAGGGTCCAAATTATTCTGATACTACTTTGTTATGCCATTCATAAACATTCCTATCCATACCCAAATTATGTAGATGTTACTTTGCTCATAAACAGTTATTTTTCTAATTAATGGTTCCGGAAAGCAAGGTTCTCTAAATTTCACACTGATCACTGCATATACATAACACATAGATATCACGAAAGATATCACCAAAACCACCATATTATGAACTTCACTTTCAAATGAAACAGAAAGCACAAACCCTTATTACCTGGAACAGTTTATCCTTTAGATTAGTGGTTCTTTAAAACAAGGTTCTCTAATTTCCACACTGACTACTGCATATGGATAATACACATATATTACAAAAGTAATGACTAAAAGCACCAAATTACGAATCACCATTCACCATCAAACCAATCAACGAGTAAAAAATGATGGCTTTTATTAATTTCTTCACGATTACTAACCCAGAATTTTAAACAAAAACCGGAAATTTAAGCCTTCAACCCAGAAATTTAAACAAAAACAAATTTAAAAAACCAACCCAGATTGCTATTGTACAATCTTTTCATACTTGGTGGATGTTCTGATATTCCTAAGAAAGTGTAGAACTTATTTCTGATGATTTTTGGGATCAAAGAAGAAACCATTTATGGAAGGATGGTGTAATGTATTAAGTACTAGTAACAATTGTTTGGTGTATTTGCCTACAGATTACAAAGGAGAAGAGTATGTATTATCTTTGTGCTTGAGGCAAGCAGCCAGTAAGGTTTCAACAGAGGCGATTCCATCGCGTACATCAATTCCTAAAGAGGAATATTTTCAAACTTTCTTATCGATGGATTCCAAACACACGGATCCTGATCAGAATCACAAGAAATACAGAAACCAAAATTCTATAGCTTTTACTGAATGGCTATTCACAAGCAAAATCAAGCTCAATAGGGATATGGGCAGATTCGTGATACATAGTTGCGTAACGAGAGAAAGTTTAAGAAATCAACCGATTTTCATGAAGAGTTGCTGAAAGCCTGAAACGCTGAGAATGGTGTCAACCTTATGAGTTGTGCGTGGCGCCTATATGGCACCACTTAAAGTTTAGTCGTCAGCGATGCCCTTTTTCGTGTATAACGTTTTTGAATACTTAAGGACTACATGCACTAATTCAATAGATACCTGATATATGATTGTTCATAAACTTCTACTCCTTCAGTTCTAATTTATGTGAACCTATTTGACTGGGCACGAAGTTTAAGAAAAAATAAACACTTTTAGAATTTGTGATTCTAAACAAGTCAAAAAGGGGCTCAGAGCATTTGTGTGGTTATAAAAACTTCTCATCAAAGATAGAATTGTAAGCTTAAGCTAATTGTTTCTAAATTTAGAAAGGGGTCATTTTTTTTGGAACGGATCAAAAAGGAAATAGGTTCACATATACTGGAACAGAGGGAGTAGCATTTAACCATGATTAATTAAAATATATTCTCACCTAATTAAATCACTTTTAAACATAGGACTACAATATTAATTAAACACCGAACCCAAAAGACTACAACATGAATTAAGAAGCTTTTTGCCAAGAACTAAAAAACACAGTAAAAAGGTATAGAATTGGTAACAAAAACAGTAAAAATGACCAAAAGAATTAAGAAAATTACCATGCTATGGTGATTTTGGGCTTCTCTGATTCGAGCACAAATCTGATTAAGAATTTGGGGATTTGGGGAAGGAGTGCCGAAGAAGTGCCGGAGAAGCAACTGTCCTTGAAGAAGTGCCGGAAAGACCGACGGAAGTGTCTTTTAGATTTTTCGGGAAGTTCCCGACTATCCTCACGATTTGGGCTTTGGGAACTTGTTGCGACCAAAACACTCACGCAAGTGTACGCGATCGATAAGTAATATAGTAGTGAGTAGAGTATCGTTCCCACGAGGAATTGTGATCAACTTCTCGACTGATATAGACTCAAACAATTATCAATTCAAGCTAAATTATCACAAAATATATAAAGAACCAATTTACAATTTACTTAGTAATTAAACAATAATTCAATACAAAATTACTACACCAATTTTACAATATTTTGATAACAATTTGAGTAAAGATATTCCAGGGTCATGGACTTACTAGAGATCATGCTACTATTTTAGCTTAAGATTGATTTATTGAATTATCCAGGTTATTGATTATAGGGTTAATAATATTCATAAGAATCTTTCGAGTTCTTATGCATCTATTCAAGTTAAACTAATACCTATATGTCTATGGTATTAATATTAGCAAGAATGCATTTACAACTCCTATTTTTCAACCAAACAAGGCAATTAAGTATATGTCTATCTTAATTGCAAATTCTTCACCCGATGCCCGAGATTCAAAACTTGTTCTATTTGATTCTATATGCAACCAAAAATTTTCTTTGTCAAGTTTAATTCAAGATTCGTAAATAATATTTCACTGTTAGCTACGCAGTAAAATAATTAGAAGCAGAATCAAATAAACAACCCATAACAATAAATTCAAGATCTTCAATCTAAGCTTCAAATAACATAATTATCTAACATCCATGACCCAAGAATACTAGAGTTTTTAGCTACTCATAATCATACAAAAATCAACAATAAAAGTTTTAAACATAATATAAACAAGCAACAAGAAGAAAGTTTGAAAGAACTCTTTAAACTCTTGATCCAAAATGATATTTTTTTTTCTCTTTCTTAGCTCCAAGCTTGATCTTCAATGGCTTTTCTCTCAAGGATTAATAGTATTTTTCTACTTACTCCCCTCCAAATCTGATCTACCTAATAATGGAGCTCTTGCTTTATGTAAGTTGAGTGGGATTAAGAAGGAATTCCAATTTTACCCCTAAATAAAGTCTCTCCGGATAGGACACGCGCGAACTATCGCGCGAAGTTTGAAAGTTCGCGCGATACTTCGCGCGCTTCTCTTGGCTTCTAGGCAGAAACGTTCGCGAACTATTGCGCGAAGTTTGGAACTTCGCGCAGTAGTTCGCGCGCTTCAGTAGCTCGATTTTGTCCATTTTTCTGTCTCGTCCTTGCGCACACTCGACTCCTAGAGGTTGTTCTTGCTCATAAATCATTTCAATCTCCTCTTGAAAGCATCATTTAGGCTCCTCATCCTGCAATATATACAGATCACAATTAGAGCCTATTTTTCATCAATTAACCATAATATGCCATCAGAATATAATAAAGCGGAAGCATAAACAATAGCTAAATCACCTAGATTTCGCCTATTATCAGAACTCTAGGGTTTGATGATTATGGAGGTCTAATGCAGATGTATTTGATCAAACTCGGCTATTTATCTTAAACTCGGCAAAGATGCAAAAAGAAAAGAGATCAGAGAGAGGATTTTTGGTGTATCGACGAGGGGATTTTGGGTGTTCGCCAATGGGAGTTTGGATACAGTACTGGGGAGTAGTTTTGGGTGTATCGATGCGCGGAGGGGTTTTTGTATTAAATTAGTTAAAAAATATAAAATACAGGTCACTTAATTAATTAACTTGGCGGGCCAGTAAATTTTTAGCGGGAAAAATGAGCGGAATAAATAACCATTCCCATATCAATTTTTTTCCCAAACCCGTTGCCATATACATGTCTATTGGGACGGTTTACAAATCCGTTGCGAAACAAAACTCTATGGCAACAGTTTTTTTACATTTGCAATGGTTTGATGTCAATTTTGTGCTGATAGCACCCAAATTCTATTGAAACAGTTTCAACCGCTACTATATCTGATCTATGGCAACGGTTTGTGAACCGTTACCGAAATAACTGTTCCCATAGGCCCATTTTCTAGTAGTGCCTCATCTTTTTACCACTTCGGGTATGTCTCTATGCTCATTCGAGGATGAACAAATGTTTTAAGAGTGTGAGGATGTAACGACCCGACCGGTCTTTTTGAGAATTAATGCTCTGATCCCCTATTAATTTCTTTCCCTGTGTTTATTGGTGCTATTTTGATTTGCCGGGAAGATTCGTTTTGAGTTTCCGAGTATTTTGGGACACTTAGATGAGAGCTTAAGCTTTAGAATTTGGACTGTAGTTGAAATAGTATGAAGACGGCTTCAGAATGGAATTCCTTCAATTCCATTAGCTCTTTTGGGTGATTTCGGGCTTAGGTGCGTGTCGGGATTGTGTTTTGGAGGTCCGTAACTTATTTAGGCTTGAAATGCCGAAAGTGAATTTTTTAATAATTCCGGATTGATAGTGAGATTTTGGTATCGAGTTCGAAATCCGATTCTGAAATTTGGAATAGTTTCGTAGTGTTGAATGTGACTTATGTGCAAAATTTGGGGTCAATCGAACATGGTTCGGTTGGTTTCGGCATCAGTTGTAGAATTTTTGAGATTTCAAGTTTATTAGGCGTGGATTTGAGGGTGATTCGTGGTTTTAGAGTTGTTTGATGTGATTTGAGGACTCGACTAAGTTCGTATGATGTTTCAGGATTGGTTGGTATGTTTGGTTGAGGTCCCGGGGGGCCTCCGACGAGTTTCGGATGCTTAACGGAAGTTGAATTGGACTTGAGCAATTTTTGAACTTGTTGAACCTATTGGTTTTGCACTTGCGGAGTTTGGACCGCAGGTGCGGAGCCGCAAAAGTGAGTTTGAACTTGTTTATTTTTCAAAACTTTGACGAAAAGCCGCAGATTTCCTCTTTGATTCTCGTAAATTTGATGTTAAGTTGAAGTTATAATCATGAAATATAGTTGGAAATTGATTAGAATCACTTACATGATGTTTGTAGATGGAAATCACTTCCTACCGAGTCTCGAGTTCTAAAATATGAAAAATGATACTAAAATCTCGACTTGTAGCCCTTTTGTTCAACTACAGATATCGCAATTGTGACACTTAGTTCGCAATTGCGAAGAAAGTCTCACAATTGCGGCTGCTGACAGCCTAAGTGGATGCAACATAGGCTTCGCAACTCCCATTGCAAATACGACTAAAATGTCACAAATGCAAACCTACCTAGAGCAACATACACTTCGCAATTGCGATCCAGGCATCACAATTGCGACACCGGAGACCCCCTGCTATGATTGTAAATGCGATGCTGGTGTTCATAATTACGATATCAGAGACACCAGCACACTATTTCTCACAAACACACCTGCAAGTATACATGATCGTACAAGTAATATGAGATTGTAAGTCTAGTTATCGTATCCACAGGAGACTTGTGATTAACTATTTACTAAAATAACTAAGAGAATTAATCTATTCAAGCGATTTTCTA